AACCCATTTTGATTTAACCACGTTTTTATTTTTTGGTCTGTCGACAAGGATCCAAGTTTTATTTTTCTTTAATGAGTCGAATTCTCGCTGCATGGCAGCAGTCCATTCAGCTGAATTTTTTGACTTAATAGCTTCGCTGTAAGTCAAAGGCTCAAAGTCATCACATTCACTCGCATACAAACCAACATTGAGACGATCTGGAGGAGCTCTCTCACGTTCCGGGTAGCGGCGTCCACTTTCATCCAGCTCTGTGACAGTGACGTCACTGGCACTTGTATCGTCCGAGCCTGGCAGCCACTCTGACCAGTCCGTGTTGTCATCCGATCCAATGTCTTCACTTTCTGTCTCTATCAAAGTTCGGTCTCCTTGTTGATCTTTCTCATTTTCCTCGTTTGCATTTTCTTCGTTGTCCGCGTCCGCCGGTTGCAACATTCCAATGAGGTCATTATCCAGCACAACGCGCACTTCATCCGCATTGAGTGATTCCACTGTTTCATTTTCGCGGAAAATTACATCCTGTGAAACGATCACACTTGAGTCGGCCGGATCAAAAAGTCTATAGCCGTGTTCGGCATATCCTATGAAGATGTATTCCTTACAGGCTGACAAGACGGCTGTCAAGTTTTTTAAGGTATGACGTAGTTTTCGAAAAAACGCGCGAACCGAACACTTTTAGGTTTTTTAAGTTGGGTTTTTTACCACACCACAACTCGTACGGGGTTTTATCCGATCCATTTCTCGGTGACCGATTTATTAAGTATGCGGCGACGCGAGCGGCTTCACCCCACATACTTTTTGGCAATTTTGAGTTAAACAGCATTGCACGCACTTTTTCACAAATGTTACGGTTCAACCGTTCGCTCTCTCCATTCAAGGATGGAGTATGCGCGGGCGTGTATCCTAATTCGATACCTTTATCTTTGCACCATTTTCTTATCTCGTTAGAATTGTATTCTCCGCCGTTGTCAATTCTCAGTTTTGCGACCGGTAAATTATGTTTACGCTCCGCGAACGCGACAAACTCTTGTAACATGCCAAAAACATCGCTTTTATTTTTTAACAGATAGATACACGTAAAAGCACTGAAGTCGTCTCTAAACGAGACGAAATAGCATTCGTTGTTGAAAGTAGATGGCTGGATTTTCCCACAGACATCACTGTGCACTATCTCCAAAAGGCGCGTTGCGGGGGTTCTTTTATTGCCGAACGAAAAACGAACTTGTTTCGCCGCCGGACAAATATCACACGTTAGGCGCACTTTATTTATTTGATTTTCTGAGAAGGAAATGCCATCTGCCATGTTAGCCAATTTTTTAAGATTTTCGAGACACAAGTGACCGAGGCGACGGTGCCAGAGAGCGATACTTTCGCCCTTTTTGACGAAAAAGGCCGAATTTTGAATTACGCTTTTCAAATTGACGGTGAATAGACCATTTTCGCCACGCTTTCCTTCAAATATGGTTTCACCATTTTTTAACACTTTAATCCCATTTTTGGAGAAAATGACGTTGCCGCCGTTGTTCACGATACTACTGACAGATATTAGGTTTACACACACTTCGGGCGAGAAAAGAACATTGTTCAACACACATTTATCTGTTACCACTTTTCCCATCGTTTTTACTGTAATGTCCACGTCCTCTTTCGCACTTGAAACAGACGTGTTTACAGGAACTAATGACGTCAGTATGTTAATGTTATGAGTCAAGTGGGAAGTACAGCCAGAATCTATAATCCAGGTGTCTTTTTGGTACTGATGACTATCATAATTTTCATGAGCAACAAACGCAACTTGTTTTTCAGATTTTGAGTTATTATCACTGTTGTTGTTTTTATTGTTATCTTTATTATTATTTTTATTGCGGAAATAACACTGACTTTCTGCGTGATTAGTTTTCTTGCAAATTCCGCATTGTTTGCTACTATTGCCTTGATCGGCATTTCTTTCAAAATTTTTACTCTCATTTTTATTAATATTAACTTTACAGAAACGACTTATGTGCCCCACCTTTTTGCAGCGATGGCAAGTTCTTTTTTCTTTACCAAAGAAGGCAACTGATTCCTCAGGTTTTACAGATTTTTCGCGATTGTGTTCTCCTAAAAGCTTACTTTTTAAGTTCTCGAGAGTCTTACTGCCGGCTGGTAAAAAGTCCCATCCGGTTTTGAAGTTCCTGTAGGAATCCGGGAGGCCTTGTAATATCTTATTAATGAGCATCTCATTCTGAATTCCCGGTTCTAGACTTTTTAATTGTACAAACAAGGCTTCAAGTTTGCTTATGAACGTCATGACGTTGCCATTCTTAACAAAGTTTAAACCAAAAAATTCCTGGTACAGGGAGCTTTTTTCTTGTTCAGTAGTTTTACCAAACAGATTTTTCAGTGTAATCCACATGTCTGATGCAGAGGTACTAGTTGAAATGTGCGTTAACAAGTTCTTTTCAATGGTTGTTATTATTACCTTGCGCGCCATGGCGTCTGCGTCATTCCACTTTTTTAAGTTCTCGGCATCCAAGAGTGGTTTCCTCTCGTTTCCGACAGCAACATCGTAAACTTTTGCAGCCTCCAAAAAAATTTTAACTTCGAACTTCCAAATCTGATAGTTTGAGGTGCCTTTTAGACGTGTTATCGTCGAAAAACCCGAACTTGCTAGGATGGTATCCATTGTTTTAATATTTTTATAAATTTTATGATCAGGGCTGATCAACCAAAAAAAAGGAACATAAACTGTCCGCTTATTCACGGAACAAAAATTGTCCGCAGGATTTTCGGATTGGACACCAACACAAAACAGAAAACGAACGAAACCTGGGTTTTTAATTCTTAAAAAATTTATAAACACTATTTAGCAATCAGGGTTTTTAAATTTTAATTTTTAATTTTTTTAACCGTTTTTAATTTTTTTAAGTGCGACTCGCACAACACATTTTTTTAATTCTTAATAGCCTTATTTATTTTTAAGTGCATTTTATTTTAAAACTCGCGCACCAGCTACTCTTAGCTCGAGAGCCCTATGTCTTGTTTCAAGCTTTTTACACTTGTGAACTATGTAGAATGCTATTAGCACTAAGATCATTAGAAACACAATTACGTACAACGTAATATCATGTAAGTCTAAGTCGGTTTTTATGTTTATGCGGTTTTCATGGTTTTCCGAGCCGAACCAACCCATGATGATCACTCACGCAAAAAATTCGGCAGTTAACGCGACTCGCAACTGAACGCAACGAACAAGACGAATGCAGTGCGGACTGCTCGAATTGAAATTTTTGTTTTTCGACCGATTTCATTATTTCCGAATTTTATTGTTTTATAAACACACGCGATAACTGGGCCCATAACCTGTTGTTGGTAGGTAAAACAATAAGTTCGGAATTCGGACGAAAGAGTTTTATTTATAAAACATTGACTCGTTGGACTGAGATCTCGTGACAGACTAACGGTAAGAGAAAAGGAAATGCACGTAGAAGAAAAATTAGACGCAATAAGCGAGCGAGAATGCAAGCAGTGCATTTAACATGACTGTGCATAGATGTCAGAGTTATAGTTATTAAATTTCAGTTTCCAACAGTTTTGAAGGTGGTTTTGGTCCTCTTAAATAAATGCCTAAACGTAGCAATGATGTACCAAAATGTTCCATAAAGAGAGGAGAATAAGCATGTTTTTATGTATACTCATTTTTTACAAAATTAGGTTCCCTGTCTTCAAAGTCTGGCTGGAAGCCGTCTCCCAGGAACTTTAGGGTATGTAAGCATATTTAGATACCATTCTGGTGGCGCAGCACCAAGAAAAAGAAAAAGAAAACACTTTAAAATCATTTTATAGGTCATCGTGGTATACAAATAAGATTTGTGATTTTTGGTCCCCCCCCCCTTCTTCACGAGACAACTGTGCGTCAGATTTTATTCCGTTCAACTGATGTCTGATACAGTTATCTCGGATGCTTTAATAAAACTTGACAAACCCATACAACAAAACAGTCTGGAACTCCAGCACTTAACACCCTCTCCTTCTGTTGCCGTGCGCTCGCTTGTATACCTATATTACCTGCAAAAGGTAAGCCCTATTTTAAGGCTTTATAGGTAGTACGATATATTCATAATATTTTTAAAACTACGCATCGTTGAGATTAAACCAAGACAAGCGGCTGTTTCGTCGGTAACACCATAATGCGCTGCCGCGCGCGTCCCGGGCAGGCAGCGCAGCGCGTGGATCTGCATCAGAACGGCCGGCTCCCCGTCCCCCGATGGTTTTTCCCGTTTCACGCCTTAAATATCGATCCCACAGAAAAATTCATAGTTATTCAAAATTCAAAATTTGGAGGCCCCCCCAGGGGGCTCAGATTTTCGGGGTCTATGTCTAAATCGAATGTCTACAGGGTAGAGATGAATTCCTGAAATTTTCATGCTTTCTTCCAGAAGTGCACAATTGTTCCGCTTATCGGTCCCACTATACTGAAAACGACCTAAAGATCCTTTCCCCCCTCCCATACATCCAATAATACACAGGATTTCCGTAAGTCCCCCCCCTTCCTAACTTTTTATCTAATTGAGGGAAAGATTTGAAACTTGGGAGACGTCCCTAGATCAAAGAGTGCTACTTTTTGGCCCCCAAAATTTTGAGGGGGCTCCTTTAGGGGGATAATGGACCCCAACTTCTTTTTTGAAATAGAAAGATCCCTTTTGTGATACCTTGCTCGAAAGAACGTGAAGTAGGAAAATTTTTTGTGCAAACCCAAAGTCATCATCTCCAACCGTTTCAAAATCACGGAAAGGAATTTAAGGAGATTGCAGAAGGAAGTAGAGCATGTCTTTTTTGTGTCCCTATTAACTGAATTACAGTGCTCCAAATATTTCGAGGAAAGTCACCATGACTTAATTTGATAATGTTTCCAAAACTGACCAAATTTAATCAATAGCCACATCTGGTTGCCGTGGAAAGTGGCATCTTTTTGCATTATCTAATTTGGGATCCCCTTTATACTTGACTGATATCGTTAACAGGTTGGTTAGCCTAGCAGAAAGTCTGGCAAGACTAGGCTCGAGCACTAAGAACAGCGGCATGTGGCGTGAAAGGTATCTTAAAAATTTTAATTTGACGTGCGATGGTGTGTGCTCAATTTTTATCTCTAACTTTTTTTCTACAATTTTACCATATCTTTTTGTTTCTCAGTGGGTTACCAATCAATATTGTACTTACATTACTGGCTGGTAAAACATTTAAATTCATTTTTCATCTTAAACTGCTTTTATTATTAATTGTATTAATAATTTTGCTTTAAGCATGTTTAAAACTAAATTTTTCAGGCTTCAGCTGTCAATTCTTGGCTGTCTATTTCACCAACCCACTAAAACTGCACTAAAACAATTTTTTCAGTGTAACCTCACCTAGGTTTTTGTACGTGCCTAGTTACACCAGCTTTGTGTGTTGATTTCATTTTGCTTTCATATCAAGCAACTGAACTTATTTCTCATTAGTAAAAAATATTGTGGTTATTGATCAGTCGGTTCAATTTTTAATAAGAAGAAATTACAGTGTTGTTAGTCTGATGAGATCCATTGTTGGCCTTTCACCAAGCTTAAACTTCAGCAATTTTTATGATTTACGTCACTATTTTCGTTGCTTATCTACCCAAAAATTAGTGTAACATTGGAAAAACAATTTGGCCTTTGAAACATTACAAAAAAGTTTTTTTGAATAAATCTGATACCACAGTGAGAGATGGAGTGCATTTTTATTTTACTTGATCGATCATTAATGAAAGAAGTACGAGAAGTAGCAAAATGGAAGGCTGACAATAAAAAGAGGCGGCCACTTTATGTAACTAGAGACCTCCAAAAATTGAAGAGGTGTACATCAACCCCCTAACTTCGTGTCATTAGTATCCAGAGGGTGATAGTTAATTCTTGAATTTCAAAAGTTTTGATGCAGCATTTTACAATGCATTAGGCGAGTTAAGATTTTGCAGGAAAATATATCGTTCATTTTGATGTATCTTGAAGCAGAATTATCTTGGCCCCATACATCCAGTCAAAAGCACAGGAAATTATTTTACAGGCGTGCCTGCTGATCAAGTGCTGGACTTTGAAAGACAGAGGGATATGCGAAATATGTTCCTGAAAAGGACCCCGCACGGTTCTTATGGAAAATGGCCCTCGGTCAAATGCGTTGAAACTTCTGTATGTTGTGCAGCATGTCATCATGAACAAAAGTTCCAATAGGCCAAACACGATCCCATGTACAGTTTTCGAGATATTCGCCGTTTTATGTGCGTAAACGGAGGTTTCGCGCGCTCCCGCCGGAGCCATACCATTGTGCGGCGCCGCTCGTGCCCTTCCCTCCCAGTCACTCTCCGCTGCCCCGCCGCCCATACCTTGGCTCCTCTATCGCTCCAACTACGACGCTCACGAGGCTGTGCCCATCATTACCGGACCGCGCCCGCACGCCGTCTTCTTACGCGGCCTCTTCTTCGGCCATGTCGCCTCTTTTTCTCATCGATCCTTTCTCTAAGTCTTCAAAAACGCTTAAGAAGTCCATTTTTACGCGGCTTTTTTGCGAGTACGAGTTTACGATCGGCGATCAGAACCCTCGACCTTCGAAAGTTACTTAGGGATTTTCTTGCAATGGTCTTCCAGCCGCATCTTTAATGTCTTTTTTATGGAACCTGGAGAAAACTCGTACTCACAAAAAGCCGCGTACGCGCATGAATGTTACGGTCGACCTGCAACTCTTTTTCATCATCTCTATGGAGTTTGTCTTGGATGTACGATCTGATTAGAGGATACGATCAGCAGATAATAAGATGGCTGATAAGGTGGTGCTGCAAGATGGAGCGACTTAAGATGTGACCATTTACGCCTAAATGGACATCTCTCTTCCTTGAGTTCAGTTATTAATGATCCCTCTCTCCTCCTCCATTGGTGCGGTTCAGCTAAGTCAAGACTAAAGCAAACTTAATTCCTACTTGGGCATCGTCAGCCGACTAATTACCCTCAACCTCCGCCACGTCATTATTGAAAGAAAGAAAAAAAAAGAAAAGAAAACACATCAACATCATCTTCCGACAGAAGTTACTTTCACTGCTTCCACATGAGAAAAATGAAGAAAAAAAAGAAAGAAAGGAAGAGGGAAGAAAATAAAAAAAAGTTCGTTTTATTTAACGTCTCTTAGGCATTCCAACTCTCTTACGTACTTTCGCATGGATTATCATTTGTTTTTCCTCTCTTTTTGTATTATTTGTGATATTAGCATTATCATGTTTAGTAAAAATGGACTTCTTAAACGTTTTTGAAGACTTAGAGAAAGGATCGATGAGAAAAAGAGGCGACATGGCCGAAGAAGAGGCCGCGTAAGATGGCGTGCGGGCGCGGTCCGGTAATGATGGGCGCAGCCTCTTAAGCGTCGTAGTTGGAGCGATAGAGGAGCCAAGGAATGAGCGGCGGGGCAGCGGAGAGTGACTGGGAGGGAAGGGCACGAGCGGCGCCGCACAATGGTATGGCTCCGGCGGGAGCGCGCGAAACCTCCGTTTACGCACATAAAACGGCGAATATCTCGAAAACCGTACATGGGATCGTGTTTGGCCTATTGGAACTTTTGTTCATGATGACATGCTGCACAACATACTGAAGTTTCAACGCATTTGACCGAGGGCCATTTTCCATAAGAACCGTGCGGGGTCCTTTGGTAGGTAAAAGCCTTTGGGCGAATATTTTGTCAGGTCTGTCTTTTCAAGAAAATTTGGATGAATAGTAGATTTGATCGCCCAATGACCAAATGAAAGTCAAATATGAATCGGTAACTGCAAGAATTTCGATTGCTTTACTCTTGTTCATTAAAGTCTTTCACAGCGTTCTCTGGTGTTCTGCAACACTTAAATGCATTTAATCTGCTCTAAGATACATCTAAATTAACGAATTATTTTCTTTCAGAACTATAATTCACCATATGCGTTAGAAAATGTCTTCTAAAATCCTGAAAGTTCAAGAATCAACTATTAGACCTTGTCTCCACGGGACGATTCATGGGATTTGTCCCAGGGAAAAATCTCACTTGCGAAGTTGGAAAAAATATTGAGTTAGTCAATACTAATCACAGTGCCAACTAAGAATCATTGTGGAGTCCCAGGAACGACTTAAAAAGAAGAAGAAATTTTGTTGTGTTCTTTAACTGGAAATAGCCTAGAAGTTTCAATCCTGCGATTCGAACTTGGGAAAAATCCTGTGAAACGTCCCATGGAGACAAGGCGCTATCCCCTAAATACTAACAATAGTTTTCTCGTAACATTCATATCTACACAGTATGCACCTATTTACTACTACTACTACCTTTATGCAAACATATGTCACTGTTTAAGTGTTTAAGTTTTTTCAGAGCAATATAATCTGAGAGTTGTGCATGTGCAACTGTGTTTTTCTAAACCCACATATCGATTGCTCTAGCAACAGCTCAACATGGGTTTTGTCCTTCGAACCAAACCGATTTTTTTTCGATTCCAAAGTGCTAAAGAAGTCCGAAAATGCCCATATTAACTTCAGGAAAATTGTCTAGTGCTCAGGACGCCGCCATTTTAAATTCTTATAAAATCGCGAAAACCTACGATTAGATTTTTGCAAGTATCTCCTCAACGGTTCATCCCACGAAAAAAACAAAAAAACTAGCAGAAAGAACATAAAATTTCCTACAGAAGTCACTTTCCTTTGTTTATTCTAGCTTAATTGTTTGGTCGTAAAATGAACGTTTTCTTCAAAAATTAGCTAAAAAAGGCGCATTTTTGCTGATTTTAGGAGAATTTTTGCTTCACATCTCCGGCCACGATTATCTGAGAAAAAAACTGTTATGCCCATCAAAAAGAGCGTAAAATTTACTTCTAGAAAGCATATGTCAACATTTCCTTAACTTAATTTAACCCTGTGAAACTGTAATTTATTAGCTCTGTCCTTAAATGGTGATTTTGTTACCCATCTCCTTTAAAATCAAGATAAAAAGAAGGAAAAAATCTAAAAACGTGGCCCAAACTGTGTAACAAGGTGGTCAAATAGTGCTGCGTCCACACTATAGGGGGGGGGGGGGGGGACCTAGCCAAAGAAATAAAAAATGTTGAGCTCTGATGAGGATCAGTACAAAACTGATGGGGGAGAGTGTTCAGCTCAGGCAGTTTGCATTGGAATATTAAGTTTCGGTCACTCCGAGAGATCTATAATTTTGAGTCTTTTTGTACCTTTGCCTGCGCCTTTTTTAGCTAATTCTTGAAGAGAACGTTAATTTTACGACCAAACAATTAAGCTAGAATAAACAAGGGAGAGTGATTTCCGTAGGAAATTTTATGTTCAATCTACTAGTTATTTTGTTTTTTTCGTGGGATGAACCGTTGAGGAGATACATGCAAAAATCTAATCGTGGGTTTTCGCGATTTTATAAGAATTTAAAATGGCGGCGTCCTGAGCACCAGACAATTTTTCTGAAGTTAATATGGGCATTTTCGGACTTCTTTAGCACTTTGGAATCGAAAAAAATCGGTTTGGTTCGAAGGACAAAACCCATGTTGAGCTGTTGCCAGAGCAATCGATATGTGGGTTGAGAAAAACACAGTTGCACATGCACAACTCTCAGATTATATTGCTGTGAAAAATCTTGAACACTTAAACAGTGACATATGTTTGCATAAAGGTAGTAGTAGTAGTAAATAGGTGCATACTGCGTAGATATGCATGTTACGCGAAAACTATTGTTAGTATTTAGGGGATAGCGCCTTGTCTCCATGGGACGTTTCACAGGATTTTTCCCAAGTTCGAATCGCAGGATTGAAACTTCTAGGCTATTTCCAGTTAAAGAACACAACAAAATTTCTTCTTCTTTTTAAGTCGTTCCTGGGACTCCACAATGATTCTTAGTTGGCACTGTGATTAGTATTGACTAACTCAATATTTTTTCCAACTTCGCAAGTGAGATTTTTCCCTGGGACAAATGGGCATTTTCGGACTTCTTTAGCACTTAGGAATCGAAAAAAATTGATTTGGTTTGAAGGACAAACCAAGACTGGGAATTTGTTGTGCTTTGTTATCAATCATCAAATATC